ATTTCTTTCTTTTTTTTTTTTTTTTTTTTTTTTTATATGGAGTATTATATTTTATTTACAAACAAATATATATATACGAACATATATTTTTTTTTATAATTATGTTTATAATAATAAATACATATATGCAATAGATATATATTTAATTTCTTATAAATATATTTATGTGTTATATGTGTTTTGAACTTGCTAACGCTCTAGGTTTTTATTATGGTCAAACGTGTTCCAAGATAAAAGGAAAGTATTCTCCAGCGGAAATACGTATAAAAGTCGGGATAGCAGATAATATCAGAACGTTATGGTGAGAGTTCTTCATCCTCATAAAGATTGATGTCATTCTCTTTCACGTATTTTCTTTTCCTTTTATTTTTTTTTTTTTTTCCTTGAGACGATAGACAGAGAGAATGAAAAAAGAACATGAGTTTATTCTGTTAGTTATAGTACGTTGGGTCTAAAATATATATCGCATAACTCAGAAAAATAGAATTGATGGTTTAGGGAGAGATAGAAAAGTGGTTGGAATTTTTCCATTGGCTATACATAAAAAAAAACTTCTCTTTTGCATTTCTTCGATTTTATTTCTTTTTTTTCTTTTTTTTTTTTTTTGTATGCGAGTTTGTTAAAATATGAGAATCAATATCAGCAATAACAAACTCGTGACCATTGGTTGCTTTATGACGTGTCAGGAAATTTTATACGATTCATGTATTTTGACGAAATTTAAATAAGGTTTGTTAATCATTTGAAAAGGCCAAGTGAGTTATTAAAATTATTACAAAACACAAAAAGAAAATCGTTAAATCTTTCTATTAGATTATTAAAATATTGTGTTCTTCATCTATGTAATTATCTATTAATCTAAATGTAATTATCTGTTCTTCATTTTTTTTTAAACGTTATTTACAAATTTTTGTAAAACAAATTTGCATTAGTTTTCACACGAAATAATACTTTTTACTTTTGATTTATGCATCGGTTTTGTTTTCCTTTTCGCAACTATAAATAGATTAAAAAGTTACATATAGAATTTGTTATTAATTCTCAAATGACTCGATTTAAATATTTCAATCGCTACCTGGGGTAAATATTGGTAAATAAATTTCTATAACATTCTGACATCACTGTAACAAAAAAGAAAAAGATATCCCACCCCCTCTCCCATCGTATATTTTCCTGTACAATATGGTATTCGTTTAAATTATTATTACATTCATTTACTATTCGTTTATATTGAAACTTTATGTTTTTATTACGTAGGATTTCAAAAAGGTATGCAAATAAAACTACGGGACTTTACCTATATAAAAGGAATTAGCAACGATACCGCTAAACCATTCGGAATTACCCAGTTAAAACATTTCGAGTTATTTCATGACTAATTTATTACTCTTCCCTTATTTAATATATTTTATTAGTTTGTATCTCGTATTGGCGAATACGGTGAACAACTATACGATTGCAATAGTTTAAATAAATAAACAAGAAAAAAGAAAGCATGTGGTAAATACATATTACGTAAATTGCAACATTTCATTGTGTTTATTCACGATAAGTGAACCAATAGAAAAAAAAAAAATAATGTAATATCTTTGTCAAAATTTTAAACGATTGATCTCGTTTAACTCGAACGAAATTACTTGCTCTTTTTTTTTTTGTCTTCTTCTATTTTTTTTTTTTTTTAATTTGTATGATTTGTTTTTTATTTTTTAGGAGCAACGAGAAAAGAAAGGAACGATCTCGTGACGCAGCAAGATGTCGGAGAAGCAAGGAAACCGACATTTTTACGGAACTTGCTGCTGCATTACCAATATCACAAGACCAGGCAGCTCATCTTGATAAAGCCAGTGTCATGAGACTTGCCATTGCTTATCTCAAAGTTCGAGCGGTCGTTGATTCCAGTGAGTTTTATTTTTATTCTTCTTCTCTTGTTTTATAATAATAAATGTTTTCTTTTTATTCAAATCCATTACCTTTTCATTTCCATACATTATATCTGGTTAATTATTAATTAAAAAGTAGATTTGCGATTAGGATATATTACTGTTTTTTACTTTTCCATATATTTTTGATTTCTTTCATTTTATTTTTGCTTTTCCTGTTGTTTTTTTCCTCCAGTACCAAGCGCAGTCGCAAAATCAGAAACGTCAGTGAAATTGGATGAATTTTTTCCGGAAGCATTGAACGGATTCATGTTGGTATTATCTAACGATGGAAACATGGTTTATCTATCGGAAAATGTAAGCGATTTTCTCGGAGTATCGCAGGTACGTTCATACGTATTACTCATTTTTAATAGATTGTTTTTTTTTTCTTCTTTTTTTTTCTTTTTTTCTTTTTTTTTTTTTTAAGATTATATATTCACAAAACACTTTATTACATACCGTGCTGAACAACAATGAGTATTAATACAGAATAATATTCTTTATTAATCTGTAAAAAGTGGTGGGTGTGTGTGTGTATATGATTCTTTTTATTTAATTCTTTTTTTATAGAATATATTTCTCGAGTCATTGTAAATGATAAAGCTAAATTAAATGTTGATTAAAAAATAACAAAGAGATTTCTTTTATAATTAGTAATAATTATTAGATAATAACGAATATTCATTATTTTTTCATTATTTTTTCATTATTTTTCTTAATTGTATACCAATTAAATATCAACGATTTTTAATGTATAACTTAATTTTAGACTTGATAAATAAAATTGGTTGGAAAAAAATTCGGTAAAAAAGTTATACTTTTAACAAATTTCAAGATACAATCTTAGAAGAAAATGTTATTTGTGTTAAAACTTAAATATAGTTTTTCCAGCATTGTATGTATGTATGTAATATATGTAAAAGTGATGACGCAAATAGAAAACAACAACGTTTGTCACTTTATTTTATATTCTATTGGTTGGCGAGTCGCTAGTTTCACGTCATGCATGTAAATTCTTATCGATAACATCAACCATAAGTTTTCAATCGAATAAGCGTGCTTCTTTTTATTTGGTATCTTACATATGTGTACGTGTGTGTGTGTGTGTTCGTATAATCGATATTTTTATATAAAATCTATAGATATAATTATTTATCTATTTTACAAAATAAATCAATTAATACAAAATTAATTAAACTATGTTGAGAAAGAACATAAAATAAAAATTATTACTGATGATTAAGACAGTTATTACTATAAATGATATAGATTAATTAAATACATATATATATATAATTCTCACACATTTTCTTTTTTATTCTTACATAGATGGATATGATGGGGCAAAGCGTGTATGAGTATAGCCATCCATGTGATCACGAAGAATTACGCGAGTGTCTTTCTTCGAAGCCTATCGAAGATAACGACAAACGCTCGTGCAGCTTTTTTCTAAGATTAAAATGCACTTTGACTAGCAAAGGAAGAAAAGTTAATTTGAAGAGCGCCTCTTATAAGGTACGGAAAATTTTTCCCAATTTCTCTCTCTCTCCCTCTCTCTCTCTCTATTATAAGATATTATTTTGAAAGAGAGAGATTACATATCGTATTCAATAATTCAAACGTAATACTGATATCCTAATGCTTCAGGTAATCCATTGTATTGGCCGTTTGATAAACATCCGTGATTCCAATTCCAATTCTGTAAACGTTGAGAAATCTCAAGGAGAAAACGATGTTTCCTCGGACAACGATGAGATACAATGTGAGACTGGACCATCTTTAATTCTAGTTGGTTGTCCTATACCTCATCCCAGTAATATCGAGATACCTTTAGGAAGTCAGACATTTTTATCGAAATACAGTCTTAACATGAAATTCACTTATGCCGATGAAAAGTAAGTTGATTATTTCTTTTTATCTTTTTTCTTAGTTTTTTTTTTTTTAACAATAGACCCTACTCATTCTTAAATTGAAATTATTATCTTTATAATGGGATTATTTAACGAACTTAGATTTATACTTTTATTTTTAATTTTCTTCTTTTTTCACAGATTAGCGGAATATCTCGGTTGGGACAGTGAGGAATTAATAGGACAATTTGTATTCGAGTTCCATCATGCTCTCGATAATTTGGCACTCGACAAATCATTCAAATCTTGTAAGTAGTTAATTTTCTTTTATCATTCGAATGATTTTTTTTGTTTTGTTTTAAATCGAAATTTCATATGTCAATGGAATTGGAAAAAACGTCGAATTTATTACATTACCAATGGTTGTCTTTATTTGGTCAGAAAATCTTTTTTAGGGTCATCGACTCGAAAGCGAAAATCGATATTCGCAGTATAACTTTTTTTGTGACCAGGGGTTAGTTCTCGCTAATCTCGAATGATCTATCTTTTGAGTAAAAGACTCTTAGGTTTATGTCTACCTACCTACCCTTCTGGAAGAATGAGATAAAACGATTTTTCTCCAAACGATGCATGCTCCTTTTTTTATTTTCCTATTCCAAGGACACTTTTATTACCTATCATTCGAAAAAAAATATATTACATAGTACCACGTGGCTCACCCATCAATTTATATTTATATATCGCTTGATTTCAAATAATTATTAATTATTAATTTTCATGTGTGATTATTTATTACTTAAATATTACACCAATTTCTGTAGACATCATCAATTTATATTTCATCGATAATTGTAAGATAATAATTTTTTTTTTAACCCGTACTATAGATAACCGATTTTTACGGACTCGCATCGAGAATAATGTGTTGCCTATCGAAAGGGGTTTAAATCAATTTTATTTACTAATAGATGGCGTTGCGATCATAATTATCGACCGAGTATAAAGTGATACCTATGTTCAGGCGTAATGTTTTTTTATTTTTTTTATTTTTTTTTAAATAAATAATTAAAAACTTGTATAAAAGATTCGTTCAACGTCACAATCAATTTTATATGTTTATAAATTTATTTCTTAATATTTTTATGATTTAAAAACAATCAGACGAATGATTTTTATTCGCGTTTTAACATGTTAATAGGATAATAGAAATGAGCACAAAAATGATAGAAAAAAGAAAAAAAAAAAAAAAAAGAAAGAAATCAAAGTAAGGATTCAAAAATGATTTCATGGGTATTTCATCAGCCACGAATGCGCAGAACGAGCGCATCTAGCGCGTATATATAAAGTGCTTGCACCTCGTAGCCCATTCAGAGTCCTCGTAGAGTATCTCACAATAACTGATCCTTATTATCCTCGTTACTGTTTCAGTGTTCAGCAAAGGGCAGTGCGAAACAGTGGCTTATCGTTTCTTGGGAAAAAAAGGCGGCTATGCATGGGTGGTCACACAAGCTACCCTTATTCATTGTACTAAACAACATAAGCCGCTCTCGGTTGTCTGTGTGAATTACATCATAAGGTAGGATCAATGACTTATAATGATATTCTTTTTACTTTTTTATAGCTTATTTCAATCTTATATCATTTTGACCTTATTGTCAGACCAATTCGCTGTTCCTTAATACGTCACGTAGAAATATTACTTATTAATTTTTAAATATGTACGTATATATTATATTAAACATTCAAGGAAAGTATATCACGTCCTTGTTATAATATATTATGAAATGAAATTTTCTTAAATGAAAATGTTCGTAAAATTCGTGCAATTTTGAAAATGTTATTTCAATAAGTTGTAGATTTATTTTAGAAAATTATTAGCGATATAATTTTGTTTGACTATAGTTTGACCATAGAAAAAACAGATTGATCATAATATAGATATCGTTTTCAAATTATTCTCGTTAAACGAAAAATCTCGAATTTTATTTGTTTCTTTAAAAGTTTTGCTCATGTAAAGCTGTATTGCGTCATCGAAGGTATGTAAGGTTCAATAACCTTGGCTCGTTCGATTGACTTGCATCACTTTGATTTCCTCGTACTCTGATAATGAGTCATGACGTATAAATTCATTTAATTAAAAAGATGATCTTACGTTAGTTAAGATTAAGAAAATATCGAAATTAATCGACCACGTGGGTTAAGGGGGAAAGTTTAGATTATTATTTTTCTTGAAGATTGAACTTATCTATTATTCTCTTATTATCTTGTTTTTTTTTTTCCCCCGAGAAATAGGTTTGAAATATTTATTGTGTCGTGTTTGATACCGATGCAATGATTTTCCAGGTAAGTGTATTTTTTTTTATTTCAATATTAAGATGATCGTTTATGATATGCATGCTAATTGAAATTCAATCTCTGTTTTTATTTATAAAAGGAACAGCGAAGATAAAATTGGTCAATTTTACTTTTTCTTCTTCTTCTTCTTCCTTCTTCTTCACTTCTTCTTCTTCTTTTTTTCTTCCTACCACCCCACATCTACCCTTTCAAGTGTAATTTTCTCATTTCTTTCTTTCCGGATGACACTTAGCTCGGCCGAAATAATCTTCTTTCTTTTACGAGGCAAGTATCATCCTGCAAATTGGACGACTCTAGATTGGAAGAAACATTCTTTATCTCTTTCTCCTTTAGATTTTTCAATTGTACGAATGTACGATCACCATACATACTTATAGAATAGATATGCTTTTATACAGTTATATCATAAATTTTAGGTCGAACTTGCAATACCTTCCTTGCGTGACTAATTGAAACCGATCATGAATATAACTTCGAATAAATGAATGAATAAATGAATGAATAAATGAATGAATGAACTAACTAACTAACTAACTAATTAACGAAAAAATACTAATAGAAACGTTATATCCTTCTTTCTATATTTCATAAATATTCTTAAAAGTATATTTATTTTTTACAATACAACATTTTATGAATGGAACCTCGCAAATAGAATCATATTTTCAACCAATTTATTTTCTACCAAATCAAATAAAATCAAATCAAATAAAAATGACGATAGAAAGAAATATCTCTATGAAAACAAGATTTTTCACAGGTCAGTCAGTTATATTAGATAAAACGTATTACTCTATAATAATAGTGTGCATAGTAAAGATAGATAGAGAGAGAGAGAAAGAGAGAACATAGGAACTTTCACTATCGGAAAACAAATAAAACCAAGCCCCTCCTCTCGGGATACTCTTCCCCTTGGTTCGTTTAATCTCCGCAGTAGTTCCGGAATGTTACCCACCCTCTCTACCAATGGCTTACGTTCAGTTATCGCCGCAGCTACCACCATCATAACCGTCAGTACACACCCACATCCACACCCACACAAATACACCCTTCAACACACTAGTAAGCTCTTTCTCTTTCTTTTACCTCTACCACCCTCTCTAACCCTCCCCCCACTCTTTTCCTCTTTCGATCCTCTCAACTTTCGAGCATTACACGCGCCGACGAAGAAGAGGACGTAGAACCTGGTGGCCCACATAAAACCGCCCCCTTTTCTGGCTATACCCTCGTAGTCACATTCGCGTCAGTATACTAACCCCTTTGGATTCTGTTCTTCGTGTTTCTCTCTCTCTCTCTCTCTCTCTCTTTCTTTCTTTCTTTATTTTCTCCCTCTTTCGTGACACTCGTTACGCGCACGCGCGTATAAGATTTCGAGCTTTACTTTACATTCCCCCTTTCTTTTCTTTTCTTCTTTTCTTTTTTCTTTTTCTTTTTCTTTTTTCCGCCCTCCTTCCATCGTCATCTCTTTCTCTCTCCTTTTCAAACGTTCCATCTCATCCACCATTTATTCCTCCCCCTTTTGACGAGGAAGAGGTTTTATTTTATCTTATGTAAGATCGAAGCTAGATAGAATAGCTAGCTAGCTAGCTAGCCTAGCTATTCTTATAGCCATTGGGACTCGGAACTTCAGCTGACGTCGCGAGACCTGTCAGATACAAACCCTTTTTTTTTTTTCTTTTCTTCTTTTCTTCTTTTCTCTCGGTCCAGATTCTTTTGTTTTCATCTTTCGATTTTACGTCCATATAAATCCGAGATTGCGACTAACAAAAATATATAATCTTCAATATTTCTTCTTTCTTTTTATATTGTTAATTTTGTTTTATACGAAAATAATATCGAGTCGAATTTAAACGAAATTTTGAAGAAAAAAATAAAGAAAAAATCTTCATTCGTTATTTCCAAATATATATTGTATAACAATTGATTAATTTTATTAATTTCTAACATTGAATCTCCATCTACTTTTATATACTTATATATATATAAATTAGTTTCGAAGGAAAAAATATGTAAAAACTATTAAAACATTTCGAACGATCAGCCACAAATCCTAGTTCATTAAATAATAATCTTTTATACGATCATTGTATAATTGTTCCCCCCTTGTAATTATGAAACAAAGTAATTGAACAATTTTTTGAAAAATCATCAAAATAAGAGATGGATTTTAAAGAGTTCGTGGGTGGGTTGTTGTATGCTGTTTTCTCTCTCTCTCTCTCTCTCTCCCTTTTTTTATTCGTAACTCGAAAGAGAAGAGAAACGCGCTTGCGTGAGGGGTAAACTGTTCCTCCTCTCGTCCTGTCAACCGGAAGGAGGAGGCTTTCCTACACTTCGTCGATATTTCCTACGTCAGTCGAGGAAACGTGCGACCCCGAACGAAAGTGAGAGCTAAATCCTCTCTCTCGTGGGTGAAAGTCACGGCCATAGTTACGTACAATTTTTTTTTTTTTTTCTTATTTTATTTTAAAGGGTTTTTTTCCCCCAATTTTTTTGTTGTCTCTTTTTATATTTTTTTCGGATTCCTTGGTCGTCGTCGTCGTGTCCATTATTTTTTCTTCTTTTTTTTTTATTTTTTTTCCCACCCCTCCCCCACCCCCCTCCACGCACACCCTCTCTCTTGTTTTTTCCTTTTCTTTTCACGAATATTTCTAATTTATCGAATGAAAAATAATAAAAAAAGAAGAATAAGAAGAAGAAGAGGAAGAAAATACTTCACGACGTAGACGTTGTTCGGAGTTAAGAAAATAAAATCATAATTGAGTGTCGTATATTTAAACTCGCGTGACGTAATATATATATAGATAGATAACTCGTACGTATATATCCATTTTTATCCCAATGATGATTCTTTTTTTCTTCTTCTCTAACATTGTTCTCTTTTACCGAGCAGCAGGATGTAATTAGTTTCCTCTTAATCGCATTTTCTAGCGAACGGTTTTATTTTTTTTCTTTTTTTCCTTTTTCTTTTAGCAAACACGCATACGTTCCTTTTTTCTTTTTTTTTTTCTTTTCTTCGAACGTCTTACACGTATTTTCGTTTATTGTAACACATATTATTGTTTGTGTGTTAATTGATTTTATATAGAATTAATTCATTTTGTTTTCTTATTTTTGCGACTGATATGACGTTAGGTATCTATTTATACTTGATGGTATTCTAATGATATTTAGAATTGATCTAATCGAAGAAATTAACAATAGGAGATACGTGTGTTAAGTATATTTATATATGTATGTATGTATCATCTGAATGTGTAGATATATGTATACATTAGATTGCGATCGTATTTATTAGTTTTCTTTTCCTCAATCATAAGCGAAGTAAATTATTTGAAAAAAAAAAAAAAAAAAAAAAAACATGAACGTGAAACTTTGTTATCAATATGTTGCATTATCAATTCTTTGAACGATCTATTGTAATAAGAATAGAAACAATTTCGAATACGATTGTAGGTATTAATTATATACGTATATACAATGTGTGTTTAAAGAGTATACGTATTCTTATCCCCCCTACTATCAATTTAAAACAATCAATATTTTTTTCCAAATTCTTATATATGCACAGAGAAACATATATTAATAATTATTAAACTTTTAAAATTAATTCTAAATTTTATTATACAAAAGAAAATGAAAAAAAGTATTTCATTATAAGAGATGTAAAATTGGACATAACTGATAAGGCATCATTTACATTAGTCTCTCGAAAGATACGTTCAATCGTTCCAAAAAACATTGCAAGATGCAAGATCAAACGAGTAATACTTAGAAAAATAATCATTTTATTTTTAATATATCTTACATAGATACACAAATATTTTTGTTAGATCAATTATTAATCATTTAAATAAAATTACATTTCTCTGAAACAGTATAATATTCTTTTACAATATAATTCATATCAAAATTCAAAAGTCGAATAATTCTAAAAACAAGAAATAAAAATAAATTTATTATTTATATGAATTTATATAAATACTTTGCATTACTAACAAATATCAATTATTTCAAATTTAAAGTACGATCGGATACGAATAATCCTCTGTGACTTATTATATGATACTTATATACCTATATATATATATATTATAAACCTAACACGAGAAAAAAATCGAAGGATTAATCCGATAATATAATATTATTTATTTATTAAATATTATTTTCTAATCGTAATAATTGTTGCGCAAAAAGTTAAATATTGTTCCTTGTAACGTAAGA